GTCCTCCATGCGCTCCTGCAGGTCTGTGCCCACTGCCCCCACCCCTGCACAGGCCCCCTGCTGTCCCCCACCTCACCTTCCTCAGGGCTTCCATCTGGTCGAGGTCCCTCCGGCGCAGGCGGACCCAGCGCCGCCGCCGGTGTGTGTAGTACATCTTCTCGGCAGGGACCCAGTGCCTGGGCTTCCGATCCGGGGGGATGGTGATGCTGTACTCCCAGCCTGGGGGAGGGGTGCGAGTCACGCACCACCCTTCAGGCCCTACCTCCCCTGGGAGCCCTTTGGGGCACACTCACAGACGCCTGGGCAGCCAACACCCACCCACAGTCCTAATGAGTAGCCTGAGGTTAGAGCAGCCTCCAGGAAGCCCCCAAATGGGGAGCCTCATGAGGGCCAGACCCCAAGCCAAGGGACCCCTGCATGCAACCACTCCACCACCCCCCACACAAGACAGAGAACCACCAGCTGGCTGCCCCACCCAGGGACCTGCCCACCTTGCTCATCCACAGCCCGATTGAGGTCCGTGGACCACTCTTCGTCTTCCCACCGCCAGCCCAGGGGGCACTCGGTGTCGTCCTTAGGCAGCACCTTCTCCCCGTTCTGCGAGCAGACATGAGCATGTGAGGCAGAGACATGAGGCCCAGCCTGAGGCCCCCACAAAAGGGCAGAGCCCTCGTTGAGCCTGATGGCTCTGGCCAGTGTCCAGCCCCTGGGGCCACACTGACCTCTGTGCACCAGAGCAGGGAAGCTGGGGAGAAAGACCCCGCACCTCTCTAAGGCACGGACCCCGCCTGCCCCACCAGTGCCCCCTCACCACATCCGTGTAGTTGTCGCTCATGTAGATCCACTGGCCCCCGGGGAGCCGCGTCTGGTTCTCAAACACCTCCTCCACGAAGCTCAGGTGACCGGCATCAGCGTCATGGAGCAGACTGTGGAGAGCCCCGTCAGAGCCTCGCTCTGCAGAGACCCCACTACACCAAGACCCACCCCATGCCCACCCGCCGAGCCAAGGTAACGCAGCAGGTGCCAGCCTCATGCCACCCAACTCCAGGGAAGGGAGGTGGAGAGAAGGTGCAGAGGGGCCTGGGCAGAAGCACCGACGGACAGTGACAGACAAGGGACAGAAACAGTCAGACCAGAGGCCATACTCCAAAGGCCTGGGGAGCCTCGGAAGCTCAACAGAGAGGCAGAGAAATGAGCCGCAGCACCAAGCTGCAGGCTCAAGATCTGAGCCCTTGGGGACTACATCTAGAATCATGTGGTGGCCGTGAGGCTGGGGTTTGGGGAGGTTGCGTTTTGGTTGTTGCTGCTGCTGTTTTTCTTGCTTGGTGCTTTTGGGTTTGGGGTGTTTGTTGTTTGTTTGTTTGTTTGTTTACTTTTCCTGATACTTTAAAAAAAATGGAAACACAGCTATGGAAAGTCAACCTAACAGGAAGGGCGTAGAGAAGGCAGCAGACAGGAGTGCGGACAGAAGAAGAAGGCTGTGCCGAGAGAAACGCCAAAGCCCCATAATCACTGCCCTCCAGTCGAAGCGGACTCAGTGACCCAACAGGACAGGGTAGAACGGCCCCGGGGTCTGTCTCTGAGGCTGTAGAAAGCCTCATCTTTCTCCCGTGGCGCGGCAGGTGGGTGCAACCTTGCGGTCATCAGCCCACTGCGCCCACTGCGTCATAACCCAAGACACCTGCCCAGCCAATGGGTGGCTACACTGGTGGCTGGAGGGTGGCTCCGGCTGCGCCCCGCGCACAGAGGGCTGACAGACAGAGGGCTGGGAGAAGCCCGGCCTGGGAGAGAGACCAAGCGGCCATGCCTATGACCAGCATGGGGTGCAGGAGTTGGCAGAGGAAGTCACAGAGCCCAGTCTTTGAGGGAAAGGGTCAGGGCGGAGTGAGGGCTGCTGGGAGGGTGCGGGGGAGGCAGGGGGTGGATCCTGGCCTGGCTGTCTCCAAGCTCTCACTACCCACAACTCACGTCTTCTCCGGACACACGAACCAGTCCCCAGCCCAGGCCCAGCCAGCCGAGGGCCGGAAGCTGTCTTTGGGTAGCTTGATCTTGCCCATGACATCAGAAAACTTGGGGTAGGTGAGGCCCGTGGTGCCCCAGTTCCCAACCAGGGCCAGCTTGGTCTGGTTCTCATACTAGAAAAAGCAGAGCACGGAGTCAAGGCCATGAGCACCTCTCGGCAGGGGGCAGCGGGTGGGGAGGGCGCTGGGGGGAGGGGAGGTGTTGGCTGGCACTCACGGTTTCAGCAAAGACAGAGAGCTTCCCCTCTGCAAACTGATTGAACTCCTTCTCGTCCACAGAGAGCCCGAACCAGAGCTTGACCCGAATCTGCACCGGCATCCGGGCTCCAGGCACTCCCTCCATCGGATACTAGCACCAGAGAAGGGCAGGCACACATAGCCCCCGTCAGGACCTGTGCCCTGTTGGGGACTCACCACAGTGTCATGCAATATATAATTAAGACACCTTCTTCCTGCCTGCCATGGTTCCGGCGAGCCCTGCATCCTTCCCAGGTCAAATCTCACTGCAGAGATGGGGGTCCCTTGGCCCCCACCACATCCTTATGTCTGATCTTTCCAGAACCGTGCTGTCCCACGAGGAACCACATTCTGCAGTCCCGTGGCTCACAATGGCAGCCACGAGCCACGTGTGGTAGCGGAGCCCGTGGCATGTGACTAGTGGGGCCGAGGAATGACATCTCTATTTCCTCTCAAGTCAACGGAACCTCCCTCACCATAGGGGGTCCCCACATTGGGCAGCACAGGTCTAGAACTTGTTTCTCAAGGAAGTGCAAAAATCCAGGCCTGGCAGGAGAAGAAATGAAAGCTTCCCCCTTCAATTTCAGTATTTCTCGATTTGGTTTGGGTTGGGGTTTTGGTTTGAGGATGGGGGGGTTGTTTATCTTGGGGATGGGGGGGGTCCTCTAACATCCCTGCCATCTCAAGTGCTTATCAGCGTGTTAACCGCGATCCACTGGTCTTTTTATCCTGAGACTTTCAGAAGCTCTGCCCAAACGGAAGAACGGCCGCACAACATTACAGAGAAAACCAGTCTCCACAATTACTTCACCATTGGATGGAAACCGAAGATCAGATGTGGCCCGAGGAGCAGAAAGCCCTCGCCTTACAGAGAGCGAGTTAGGGACCAAAGTGGGGTGCACATGAGCTTGGAGAGGTGGCCCCTGGGGACCAGGGAGTTTTCATGGGTTCAGAAGTGGGAGGGGGATCATGGCAGGGTCTCACACCAGTGGAGGAGGCCAGGCTGCCTAGAGGTGGAGCCCAGGGAGGGCAGACCCTTGGCATCCAAGGCAGTGGCACCCACCCTTGCCCGGGCCCACCAGCCCCTCTTCAGGGTGCGCCTCAGAAAAGCCCCGAAGCCCACGAGTCACCCCTGAACCCCTCTCCAGGGCTGTTTGCTTCAGCTGACTCCTCCCACGGGGGAGTTACCCCCTTTTCCCCTCAAAACCACCAGCCCCAGGGAGAGGGCAGGAATGCCTGACCCCTCCCTTCCCCCTCCATCCACCCTCAGCTCACCCCCCTGCCCTCCCCCAGACAGGGCCAGCCTGCTGGACCCAAAATAGCAACAGCAAATAAAGAAATGTCTAGTTTGGGGTTCCTCTCCCTCTCTGTTGGTGCTCATTTTTTCCAACTTTGGTTTAAGTTAAGAAACACCAATGTTTTTTTGGTCACTGCTGGCTGCCAACATTTTTGTACAGCTTGCTCAGGAGCTACTGGCGGGCCTCATAAACTCAGTGGGGAAGACTTCGAGAAACAATTCTAGATCCCCCCCCCCCGAACCCCCAATGTGCCTGGAATCAGGGAAGTTTTTCAGCTTGCGTTTCCCCAAGGCTCTCGGGCTGAGAGGTCAGAGCTCTGCGGAGGCCCTTGCAGGACTTCCTGCCCTTTCTGCCCTGCTAGGCTACACGCTGGCGTGGGAAGGTGGAGAGTGGGATTCTATGTGGTTAAGCAGCACGTGAGCAGGTGGGAAAGGTGGCCCTCATGTCTAGGTCAAGATTCCATCTCCTCTGACACCTGCTCCAACCTCCCCCCACGCACACCCCTGCCACCCCAGCCTTGAATCAGCGTCCATCACACTATCTATGGAGCTTAATCCCCCCGGGGAGCGAGGGAGCACCCCAAAAGGGAGAAGGGAGTACTGACATTCGTAGTCAGCATGACCCATACACCTAATTTAGCCCTCTGAGTGCGTGGTAAACAGCAGCCGTGTCCTTAGCCGTGAGAAGACAGTGAGCAGTTCAGAGAGTCTGGACAACCAGCCCAAGGCCACACAGCATTCCAACTGGCCCTGACACCTTGACCACACAGCCTTCACTACAAGAGCCTGCCCCACCACCTCTGCCCTGACCTGCCCCAGGGGTAGCCAAAATGACTGGCCAAGAAATAAATGGGTTCACCAAGAGCCACCCAGACTTCCTGAAAGAGGTCACCCTGGTGCTGAAGAGGTCAAAAACAAAACAAAACCTACTGCCATCGAGTCAGTGCTGACTGACGGAGACCTACCCTGTGGGTTTCCAAGCTGGTAACTGTTGATGGGAGTAGAAAGCACAGTCTTTCTCACAAATAGCTGCTGGCGGCTTTGAACTGTTAGCCATGCAGATCACAGCCCAACACATAAACCACTACACCACCAGCGGACTGTGGAGCTGGGAGTGGACAGGCACTTGGACAAAGGGGAAGTGAGTGAGCAGGCCTGCTTCCCAGGGCCTGGGAGCCTTACTGGGAAGGGAGGCAGAGTCACCGTCTTCCTCAGAGACCCTCTGTGAGCAGAGTCCCCTCTCCCACCCCAGAGGACTCAGAGACGGGCCGGGAAGAGGTGTGGAAAACCACCGTGTGGGTTGAGGAGAGGAAGGCCCTGTGTTTACCAAACACGGTCCTGACTTCAGCAGAGAGAAACCCACTTTCAGAAAGATCGTCTGCAGCTTCCCACAGTTCTTGCCGCAGCAGCTGGCGCCACGCCTGGAGAAGAGGATCTCATGGGCCGGCACCCGCTGATACGCCACACGCTTGTCTCCCTGCAGCATCCAGATGATGACGTCAGGCAGGCTGTTCTGGGGCTGGGGGGTGGGGGGGGGAGGGCAGGTGGTCAGGGAGCAGCAGTGGTGGCCCAGACCCCCAGCCACACCACAAACACCCCCACACACCCTATGCCAGGAGACTCCTCTCTGCATGATGCCCACGCCCAGTCTGCCTCAGGGCCATGGAGGGCTGCGAGCCCCCTAAGGACAGGGCATGAGGCTGCCCCAGCTCCCAGAAGGAGCCGGCATG